AGGTCTAGGCCCAAAACGTCAGCTTTCCTGCTCCTCTGATGCTGCTCGGCCTGCTGTATTCATCCAGCTCTACACCTTGTTATCTCATGGTTAGGGTATAAAATGGGTTTTAAATTCAGTAATACCTATCTGGTGTGCTGCTTCAAATGAATTTTAAGCATCTGTCACTTAGCCTGATATCTCACTTCCTTCCCATAAACCCCCCCACCCCTGACTCACCTACAACCCCAACAGCTGTTTTTCAAAACATTCTTGTTCTCTATTCCCTAAGTACAATTCCCAAGCATCGCCTTTATTCAGGAACCATTCTTTTGGAGTGGAAAATTACATAAGTCACTCTGACTGAAGAAACATAAAGTGGATTATAGGTCAGTCAGCCTAACATGTACTGATGGGAAATTATTACAGCCTATAATTATAGGACAAAGTGACTGAACATCTTGAAACTTTTCACTTCTTCAGAGGGCACCAGCATGGATTTGTTCTAAAGGGCAGATCATGCTGATCAATGTGACTGGATTCTTTTAGGAGGTGTCTACAGCAGTAGTCAGGGAATGCTTAAGGTCTCTCTCAGCAGGTCATTAGCTGAAGCTCCTCGAATTTATGGCAACTAATTGACCTGGTTAGAAAAATCTCCAAGTAGCAGGAGACAGAGTAGGGATAATGAGTAGAATGTGACTAGTGGTATCATGCAAGAATCTGTGTCAGAACATCAACTATTCATCATATTTAGTTAATGACTTATACAATGGGTTTGAAACTAACTTGTCCACGTTTGCCACAGGCACACAGATTGTTGTAATTGTATCTCTGTGCCCTGTCCTTGCTGCTGAACCCAGTTTCAAAATTGAAATAATTCTCCGAGTGTGGCCCATGCAAATGACATATATAAACTGTGCGATGAAGGGCAGCATGATGGCTCAGTGGTTAACACTGCTGCCTCACAGCACCGGGGACCTGGGTTCAATTGCAGCCTTGGGTGACTACTTGTGTGGCATTTGCACATTCTCCCTATGTCTGCGTGGGTTTCTGCTGGGTGCTCTGGTTTCCTTCAAGAGTCCAAAGATGTGCAGGTTAGGTGGATTGACCACGCTAAGTTGTCCCAGTGTCCAGGGACATGCAGGCTAGGTGAATTAGCCATGGTAAAGGCAGGGTTACCGGGACAGGATGGGGGTCTGGGTCTTGGTGGGATGCTCTTCAGAGGGTCAGTCCTGTGTCAATGGCTCAAATGGACTCTTTCCACACTGTGTAGACTTCCTGTGATTTTAAGTATTGGGTCTGGAATCATGCACATGCATGTGTGTTAATCCAGAAACATGTACAGTATGTGTGTCAGCAGACTGACTAGGAATTGTGCTTCAAACTACAAAAGGTCCAGGTTAGGTCACATCTGGAATACTGTGAATAGACTGGGCAACTGACCTTTGGAAGGATATTTTGGCCCCGGAGGGAGTTAAGCAAAGGATGACCAAAATGACACTTGGAATCCAAAGCTTAAATTACAAGGAAAGATTTGTAAGTTTGTATTCCCTGAAAATTAAGGAGATTAAAGGTAATTGATCAAAATGCTCAATATATTAAGAGGAACAGACAGAGAAAAAAAAGTCTTTTCATGATGTCTGGTTGGCATGGATGAGTTGGACCGAAGGATCTGTTTCCGAACTGTACATCTGACTTATTTAAGAGTCTAAGACTAAGTGGTATATCTAAACGAGTGCCATATCTTTCAAGAGTGAAATCAGGAAACATTTTTACACATAAAAGCGTGGAACTCTCCTCCACAAATTCCAATTGATGCTGGATCAATCGCTAACTTATAACTGAGACTGATACCTTTGGAAGATAGCTAAGCAAATTGGGTAAAGGTAGGTTTTTGAAGTTAGGTTGCTGATCAGCCGTGATCTCAATGAATAGCAGAACAGTTATGAATAGCTAAACGGCCTCTCCAGTTTCTATGCAAGGGTTGGCCATTCATGCCACTGAGACTGCCCCACCATCCAATATGATCATGGCTGATACTCTATCTTAATGCCCTACCCCCACTTTCTGACCATATTCCTTGGTGTTTTCGGTGTCTAGAAATCTATTTTGTTAAATATATTCAAGTAATTTGGCCTCCACAGCTTTGTCATCCAAAATTCCATAGGCTGAACACCCTCTAAGTGAAGAAATTTCTCCTCAACTCAGTCCTAAATGGTCTACCCCATATCTTGAGAACATGATGCCTTGTTCTAGACCCATCCCAACCAGCCTGTCCAAGGCTGTCAGAATTTTACACATTTCAATGAGATCCCCTGTCATTCTTCTAAACTCCAGTGAATACAAACCCAGTCCACCCAATCTCCCCTCCAACAACAAATCCACCATCTCAGGAACAAGTCTGCTGAACCTTTGTTGTACTCCCTTTATGGCAAGTTTATCTCTTCCCTGGTAAGGAGTCCAAAACAGCAAATAATACTTCATGTATAGTCTCACGAAGGCCCGTACAACTGTAGCAAGACATCCTTGCTTCTGCACTCAAACCTCCTTGCAATTAATTCCAACATACCATTTGCCTTCTTAATTGCTTGCTGCATGCTTGATCTCAGTAACAGGTGTACAAGGATACCCAGGACCCCTTGTACACCAATGTTTCCCAATCCTATCACCATTTAAATAATACACTGCCATTCAGCTTTTCCTACCAAAGTAGATAACTTCACACACATCACAAATGCCGTGCATTTGCTCACTCATTCAGCTAAATCACTTTGAAACTTCTTTACATCTTCGTCACCACTCACACTTCCACCTAGTTTTGTGTCAACAAATGCAAATGCTGTAGCTATATAGGAACAGCCTGACTACAGGCACAGCTTGTTCTGGAGCCCAAATCTTCAGTACTATTACCAGAATATTCACAAAGCCCATAGCCTTTGCAGTATCCAGTGTCTTCAGCAGTTTCTTGATATCATGTGGAGTGAATCAAATTGGATAATAGAGGAGGCGATGGCCTAGTGGTATTATCGCTACTGTTAATCCAGAGATCCAGGTAACCTTCTGGGACCTCGTTTCAATTCTCACCATGACAGATGGTGGAATTTGAATTCAATAAATATCTGGAATGAAGAGTCTAATGATAACCTTGAATTTATTAACAGTTGTCCAAACAACCCATCTGGTTCACTTGTGTCCTCTAGGGAGGGAAACTGCCATCGTTACCTGGTTCTGGCCAATATATGGCTCCAGATCCACAGCAACATGGTTATCTCTTAACTGCCCTTTGGGCAATTGGCAACAGCAATAAATGCTGGCCTTCCCCATTGTTGAAGATAGGGAAATCTGCAGAGCCACCACCACCTCTCAATTGTTTAACTGTCTTCTACTATTCACAACTGGATGTAGCCGGACTGCAGCGCTTGCATTGTGACACAAGCTATTTTGTTGCCAATACAGGATACTGTATACAGGAATGTCAAGTTTTAAAGGCTGGGGGAAGACCGAGATAGAGATGCACAAGAAGACCATGAATTTTAAAAAACTATCAAAAAATGGATATCTCATTTCCATAACAATTGCATATATCCTACTCAATAGGGAATATTTTAATATAATATTAAAGAATATTTTAAGCCACTGTACAATTTTCCTCACTTATGCAGAGCCAATATTGCACAATAAAAATCTGGAAAAATAGCTTACACACTCAAAGTAATTACACCTTCCATTGACATGACAGGGCCCAACTTAGACCATCCATGCTTATCCTATTGAGCATGCATACTGGCCGAACTACAGTCATTTGCCATAATTATAGTTTCAACTGAAAAGGTGTAAAGAGTGGTAAGTGCTCCAATGTCCTGAACAGGTCAGTGGCTGACAAAACCTTGTTATTTTACTGTTGTATTCTTAAACTTTGCAACACAGGGGTCACTGACCATCCATTTTTGTCTGCCTCTCTTTCAGTCTCTCCAGAATGGATCATTACTGAGTCATTCAAAATAAATGAGATACTGACGAACCCCTCCATGTTTTATTTTTAGAAGTTTCTTCTTTAATCAGCCACTCTGTATAGAGGCTGAAATGCATCAATACCCTTCTGCCTGCTATAAACCGGGACAGCTGCGATAGATAATTCAAAAGAACCTTGCAGTTTTTAAACTGAGTCAAAGTGGTAGAAGAATATAGTCTACTTTTGCGGGAATTATCTAAGTATTCCTTCTCAAGTAGTCATTTCATCTAAATACCCTTTCCAGCCAGGAATGACAAACCTGCACATGAGCAGTGGGGAGAGATGGAAAGAAAAATAACTGAATAAATTTATCCTCTCCAAAAGAGAGAAACACAATGGTTTTTCTTTGGCGTACCTTCATTGCTAGTTTCAGCTTTTCTTGGAAATGGATCTCCTCGGATCGGAGGGAATCTAACTCGTGTTTGAGTTCAGCTCGCTGTGTGTTCACCTGCTGTACAATCCGCTCCTGTTCCTTGCCCATCTCTAATTTAACTGCTGCTATCTTTTCCTTGTATCTTTGATCCAAATATCTGGGAAGGGGGAAATGATTAAGGAGATAAGGTGAGCAAACAATTTACTAAAGCTGCATTACAAACAATGATTGTATATAGCAATCACACCACAAAATGTAAATGATATTTGGGAGATGTCTTCACCAGAAATTGGAACTCGCTCCATACAGTCACTGGGGTGATTAACAATAGATGATCTGAGATATATGTACGTGAAGCTGCTGATTTTCCTTAACAACAGAACAGAAGAAGTTTATGACACAAAATATGTTTTTTTTTTAAAAAAGCTATCTAAATGTAGAAGACAATTAAGAAAGATCTCAAAATACAGCAAAACAGAGTTTCAACCTTTTTCCCAACACTACTAACTACAGAGACAAGTCCAGAGAAATTATATACCAATTACAACTCTTTAGGGTTCTACATTACTGACTCTTGATCTTTGCATTGGACTGCACAGACAATTTGAGTCTTTTCCAAATCTGCTAACATGAATTTTTCGCAAATCTGAAAGCCAAAATATTCCAATATCTTGCAGATTTCTAATCAAAGTCTCTTGGTTTAGAAGTTGCACAAACTAAAAATTCTTTTTCTGAGATGACTTGTTCCCTGCACCAAACTCCTTCTAGTAGAGAAACTAAACTTGTTTCTGAACACAACCCTGTTATCTTCCATTCTGAACTAAAAAAACTTGTTTAACCTTAGATTATTCTGAACTGAAAATAAACCTAATGGCCTCACATATTTATCTACCTTCCATAAAGCCAACAGTATAAAGTCTTTGCATTAACATGACAAGGGTTTGCAGACACTTACATTTTGACAAATGCTGGATTTAATCACTATTCCAAAAGGACTTTCTGACCTTTTATTTTATTATAGAAACCGTCCAAAAAGTAAACATTCAGCTGCCTCTATTTTGAAATCCCAATTCCAAAATTAATTTGAATACATATAAATTAACAACTTTCATCACAATTTATTTGAAGGGAAAATGAGCTAACTACAGAAGGGAGAAAGGAAAATAATGATATGTTGATAGAGTTCAATCAAGTTGATTGGGAGGAGTTTTGTGCTGAGCATAAGTGTTGTTGGCCAAATGGTCTGCTGCTGGGCTTTATGTACTAAATAACTGATTTTATATTAAAAAAAGTTGAGCCTTTTTCTATTATAAATATTACCATTGGGAACTTTCTTCATTGTGTCCTCCTTTTGGGATAAGACTAGTGCTGTGAGAAACTTCCATAGCCACCTAATACTTCTACCAAATTTTTATTCATATTGTGATATTGATAAAACCACTGTGGCAAGAGAAGTATCATAAGCAAGTCTGCGGTCACATTCTGTTTACACAAGAAACAGTGATCAGTTGAGGTGGGAGGGAGTTAGTGGATAATTTTGGGGGACTTTGGCGATTCAAGAGGACTCTTGATCTGTAGCTAGTCATCTGACACAAGCTAGTGAGACAAACAACAGGGCCTCAGTGCCCATAACTTACAGAGTGAGATTTTGCCTAAGGTTCCTCTTCCTGATTGACATCCAGCTCTCCTGATGGAAGGATTTGGGATTGAGGTCAGGTTAGGTTCTGATGTCTCTGGATGGCACATCGGCAATAAATACTCATTATCAGGAGTAAAAGCTTCTTGGGTGAAGTAATTGGACAATACCTAACCCCATGGAATCAAACTCTGGGAAGGAGTCAACATCTTGAGCAAGAGAGGGTTGGGAAGAAAATTGATGAGAAAATCTAAAGACAGTGCTGCAACTTCAAAGAGCTAATAAGAAACATTCTACAGGAAGCCTATCAATGCATTGTTAACTAGGGAGGTAACCTGAATCTTGGATAGAGTTGGACATGTTCTTCCAAATCCATGATCTCCACCTCCAAGACAGCCAAAGGCAGCAAGTGCATTGGAACACCTCCTCCATCTCATCTTCACGTATCATAATTGTTTTGTCATTGCTGGGTCAAATCCTGGGATGCCCTACATAAATATTTTATGGTAGCAGCTTTATTACATGCACTGCAGTGAAGAAGGCAACTTACTATCACCTCTCAAAGGTTACCGACGGATAGGCAATAAATAGCAACTCTGCCAATAAGATGCCACAAAAAAATAATTTCAGGGATCAACAATATTTTCTTTTCCTGAATCCTGGAAGATGCTCATGCCTAGTGAACAAAAAGCAAATAAAAAGTTTAACCAACGTCTCCTACTGACTTGATTTTGGTCTCATTGAGCAATTCCATTGTGGCATGCCGGTCATCAATTTCCTTGGCTAGCTCCACATTGCGCCTCTCTGCTCTATCCAAGTCTGCTTTGGCTTTTTCTCCCTCCTTGTACAGCTGCTGAATTTGACTTCTGCAAAAACAAGGTTTGTTCAATATCAATTTGACACCATTGTTTATTTCTTATAACAAATAAAATAAATCAAGTCGGAATACCTGGCAGTGGTCATTTAGGACGGGATGTCTCCTACCCGATGTATCCGAAATCTATTTTGATAATATACTGGCAATCGATTCCCTACTTGAACACATCATGGTCAGTACCCAGTGATTTTTTTTCTCCAGTGCCTCTAGGATAAAATTCAGGTAGGGAAGGGATTTTTGATTTCAGTGAGAATCAATGGAACAAAAGTCTTGCTTACTGCTTCTGCTTGTAATTCCATGAGTCAAGTATACATATTTTTCTCAAAATAGTCTGTCACCATCTGCGGGGATAGAAAGAGTTAGTGTTTCAAGTCAAATATGACTATCCTTCTGAAAGAGTCATTTGACTCGAAGGAGAGTCATAATAAACTCAAAACATTAACTCAATTTCTCTCTCCAAAGATCCTACCAAACCCACTGATTATTATATCATTTACTGCTTTTCTTTTATTTTAGGTTTTTGCTTTTATGTAGGTGTTTAGCATTTTGTCTTGTCTATATGATCCCCTCATGAAATGCATGTCACAGTGAGTAGTACCCTAATTTACACACGTGCTCTTCTATATGCAATGACTTATTGGAGTTGTGCAGGCAAGGTAATTATAGATCTGTAAATCTGTGTCAGTCATACTAACTTTGTGAAAGAAGGAGAAGTGAAGCTTGTGCAACAATTTCAGAGGGTGGTACATATGTGGAATGAACTGCCAGAGGGAGTGGCAGATACAGGTATAGTTACAACATTTAAGACATTTCAACAGGTACATGAGTAGGAAAGGTTTACAGGGATACGGGCCAAATGCAGTTGGACCAAAGGGTCTGTTTCAATGATGTATGACTTTGAGTCTAAATAAATGATGCATGGAAGGATCATAATAATATATTCCCTGTGAGAATCAGGGCCCACACAACCCACAGACCTCAATATTTTGGGCAGGTTGTCAGAACAATGCACATTAAATTAGGATCTACACATGATGAGTTAAAATAGCTTTCTGCTGAAAATAGCATTGTAAGTCATGCATTGTGTAAGTGACCAGTGGGAACAGGCTTTTCCAAAAGGAAATGGCATCCTCCAAACAGGAGGATGCAATTTCTGAAAGTAAGTACCAGCAATGTCTGTAACAACATCACTCGTACTTATTTAGCAGTTCTAATGCTATAAAATGTCCCAAGGCATTTCACAAGAATATTATAAAACATAATAAATTGTTAAAGCATATGACCAAATGCTTTATCAAAGAGGTTGTTTTTAAGGAATATCTTAAATGGAGGGAGGGTAGATAGACATATTATCGAGGTTTAGAGAGGGAATCTGTGGCCGAGGGCTTTGATACTTGAAAGCAAAATCAGTAATGGTGGAGCAATTAAAATTAGGGATGTTCAAGAGGCTAGAATTAGAGAACAGATGTCTTGGAAGGTTGCGGGCTTGGAAAAGATGACAGCAATGGGGAGTGCTGAGGTCATTGAGGGGATATGAAATGAAGGTCAAGAATTTCAAGGTTTTGCTTAACAAGAAGCAAATGTAGATCATCAAGTATAGGAGCAGTGGGCAAATGGAATTTGGTGTGTGAGGAAGGAAGAGGCACAGAGGTTTAGATGGCCTCAGGTTTACAGAGGATGGAATGTGGCCGATTGGGCAGTGCCGTGTCGGAATGATTAAATTTAGAGCTAACGAAAATATAGACAAGCATTTCATCAGTAGACAAGACAAGAAAGCACAGGGTTGGCATTATTATGGATACATCAAACCTCTTCCGACAGCACTTTACAAACCCATGATCTCTACCACCTGGAAACACAATGGCATCCAAGCCACACACAATCCTGACTTGGAACTACATCATCATTCTTCCACTGCTGCTGGGTCAAATTCCTGGAACTCCCTTCCCAACAGCACTGTGGGTATACCAATACACTGCAGCAGTTCAAGACGGCAGCTCAAGAGCAATTAGAGTTGGGCAATAAATGCCAGTCTCACCAGCAACACCCCAACTCCCATTAACCATCTATCCTATCGTTTACTCCCTACCCCACCCACCTCCCCATTTTCTGCATATAAACTGATGTTTTCCCAGCCACTATCAGTTCTGAGGAAGGGTCACCAGACCCAAAACGTTAACTCTTGTTTTCTCCTTCACAAATGCTGCCAGACCTGCTGAGCTTTTCCAGCAACTTTGTTTTTGATGCTGATTTACATCATCCGCAGTTCTTTTGGTTTTTAACAAACAAGTTAAGTTGAAATTAGTAACCTCGGTGTCAGCACAAGTATATACCTAGGTGCTCACCTCAGGGTTAATTTTGACCTCAGATGTGAACAATGTTGCTCAGCCTCAGGTAATTGCCAGGGTGAGGGCTGGAGTTGGTAGCTAGGGAACAGAATCTGTAGCCATTCCAAAAACAGGGCTTCGATTTTCCCAAAATACTGGACGCCAGGTGAGCTGTCTGATAATCTAGTGATGGTGGAGGAATCTAAAGTGGTCATGGCATTGATTAGAAACATACCTATTCCTGGTGCTTGTGAGAAGTGGTGCTGAGTGAAGCAATGCAATGTAACCATGGTAATGGAATAATTGAAAAAGAACGTATTCTAGCACTTGACTCTTTAACTACAATTAATTGATTATACCATATTTTAGTACAATTAATTGGTTATTCTTTCACTTTTGTGTATTGTTCCTTCACTGCAATTTTGATTATTATTGATAATATGCACAAGATCAGAAAGAACAAATGGTGTTAAAGCGAGAGCGAGCAAATCATTGCACTGGGGCATTCCCACAAGAACCAATAAAAATTTGATCCTGTATTGTTACAACTGCAATGAGTGTTTACACTGGTGCTTAAAATGAGGAGACAAATTTGACAAACATTTTGGTAACCCTGAAGTAATTTAATCCTCATTAAATTAGAATCAGTTGAAGAGGATACCTACCCCTTGAAGAGTAAAGCCCGAGAGGGATCTCCAATTAACAACGGGAAGACCTGAGAGCATTCTGGGCAAGGTTCAGACGTTTCTTCACAATTTGAATCTACCTAACGGCTAGGGCAGCACTAACTAAGGCAATAGTTATGCCAATTCTAGTGTTGTAGATTCTTAACTTAGTGGAAGAGGCTGAGGCCAGATATAAAGAAGCTTCAGAATTTAAGACCCAAGCAGGTGATGGAAATCTGGTCATTCCAGCCAGCTGGAGCTGCTGGTACAGCGTCTTGAACAGAACAAAAATCAGGATTAGATGAAAGGAATATCTAAAGCTGCAGCATGCAAAGTTAGCAGTAACCTTGACAGGCATCA